TAAGTCATGAGTCTGGAGATATCCATATTTCCTAATAACATAGCATTCCTACACTTGGTCTTTACTAAATTGGATACTCCAAAGAAGAACTTACTCATTTGTGACCTCGAATCAACAACCATATATGGAGCATACATGGAGAGATGAGTGAACTTCAATTTGTATTCATGGACTAACGTTGAGCTCTATTTCAAGTTCATAAACTTCTGAGCCTTAGCCTCCCTTAACTCCCTCGAGAAGAACATGTTTAGAAAATCTCTAGTAAAGTAGTTCATGTCACATGAATTGTATTCTTACCCTATTTTCCTTCCATTACGTGAACCAAATATGAGACACATCCTTGAGTTGATAGGGTTCAAACTCAACACTCTCAGTACTAGTCACTTGAATTACTCCAAGAATCTACTTAACCTCATCAATGAAGTTATATGGGTCCTCAACAACCTTCAACCTTAGAAATTCTGGTGAATTCATACGAACAAAGCCTCAAACCCTAGTTTCGGCTAATCAACCATTAGTCTTTGCGGAAACTGTGGCCTGGTAATGGTTCTGATTGGATACATTCTAATCTAAGACCTAGATCCCATTCAAAAATTCTACATTTGTAACATCATGGTTTGGTACTAGAGAAACCACGTTAGCATTTTGTGTATTAGCAATCTCTGTGTTAGCTCTACGTGGAGGCATGATCTAAAATACATAATGATGGATTAAAAAAGATAATTTCTATCATACCTCATTCACGATAAGAAAAGAAAATAAAGTAATGTTTAACTTAAAATATTTTGTAGCTTCTCTCTCATAGGTGTGGCACTTTTAACTCTCATGAAAGGGACTCTACTTAGTGTGACTTTCAGACACCCTAGGACTCTTAAACCTAGCTTTGGTACCATGTTTTTCATGCTCCGAGACTACCCAGTAGGCGTAAAATGGGACCTAGTATTAAAGTGACCCCATGCTAACCCTGAGTCTGGCATATATCAATTATGGTGAATATGACTAAGTAAAACATATACTCCGTAGAAACTACAAACAGTGGATATTTCAAATGGGGAAAAACTCAAGTAGTCTAAATATATATATAATAATAGGATTTTAGTGATAATTGAAACAACCACTCAACGACTCAAGATGAATCTACCATTATGTGTGAAAAACCGCTATTAAATTGAGTTTTTGGGACATGCCCCCAACTAGCTCTAATAAAATTGAGAACTAAAAATAAAGACTAGAATAGAAATTATTTCTATTGTCCTCGAAGTATGAGGACTCACAACTGAAGCTGCTAAAGTCGAGCCGAGAATCAATCTAAGAGTGATTTGGATGATGTGTGTTTGAACCTACATTATGAAATGATATAGCACAAAGGTATGCATCATCACTTGGAATGTACTAAGCATGCATGATATAGAAATGCTAATTTGAACAATACATAACTGAGCAATGATATAATTTGAATAATGATATAGATATGTACTATAACTGAAAGTTGAACTGAATGAAATTACCAAGTTCTAATTCATATACCGTGGTTTCACGGTATTATTAATACTTTTTCCTTAAGTTTAGTGTGTCCAAAAGCCTTTTTTTTCTAATTTTTATATAAGGTTCTCTTTGTTTTGCAGGAAATCTGTCCAAAGCTGAATGCGGAGATTTTGAGAGAAGAATTGCAGAAGAGACCACCTACGGAGCTTATGACGGTCCGTCGTGCCTGTGACGGTCCGTGAGTGGCAGCGTAGTGCAGCTGCTGAAGGAAGATGGGGAAGTCTGACCAAGTGTGGGATTATGAAGCTTGTGACGGTCCGTCGTGGCTATGACGGTCCGTCATGCAGGTTCGTCGTGAAGTTCAGAGAAGTGATCCCAGTACCCAGATTCCAAGAGTTGAAGTGTTTTGGAACGAGACCCTCGACGGACCGCTGTGCTTATGACGGTCCATCATACTTGCCGTCGAGGGGAATGAAGATAGCAGTAGAAGAAATTGCACAAGTATGGGACGACGAAGTCCATGACGGTCCGTCGTGACCACGACGGTCTGTTGCGTGGTCCGTCGACCCAGCCGCGTTTTGGCAGATTTCCAGCAATTAGAATCCTTGTTTAATTAGGTTTTTGTTTTTCTATAGTTCAAAAAACCTCGTTTTTGAAGTTAGACTCTATGAGATTAGACATCAGATTCTTAGACTTTGTGTATTAGTGTTGGATTTTGAGATTATTCCAAGTGATTTTTTGATATTAATCAAGCAAACTTTGGATTTTATTGTTTCTCATTGAAGTAAGTACATGAATTCGTATTTAATATATTTGAATGTTGTGTTTATGGTTGTGATTAACTAAACTCCATAACTAGGGTTGTGGGAACCATAGGCAAATAATGAGATAAACCCTAACTAAAATAACAATTCTAGATTAGTGTCTTGCATGTATTAATAATTCTTTCGCTTAAAAGTCTTTTTAACGGATGGCCAACGTTAGAACTCGCCTTAATGCTACTTGCCGGACCAAGAAGGTAGATAATAGGAAAAAAATTATTAATATAGATTTAGTGTATACTATCTAATAGGCTAGTATTGATTGGTACGAGGTAATAACTTAGTCAAATATCGAATACGATGCTTAATATGAGGTAAGGATAAGGGTTATGATAGCAACACACGTAGCCGGACCAAGGTACGGAGTGAGATTTTCTAGATGCCGGACCAAGGATTTAGAAATACATAACTTATCACTTTGCATGCAAGATACTAGGAAAGAATTGTTATAGTTGGAATTTTATCAAGTTATGAACCTGTGGGGAACACGTAAACCCTAGTTACTTTGATTAATTGATTAAAACCCAACATTCAAAAGCTTTTAAGTGTCTCTGTCAAGTTCGTTATTTATTTTCATTCGTTTAGAAATAAAAACCCCCCGTTATTGTTTTTACTTTCCAAGGAAGCCATTAACCAAACAATAGTAATAACAAGTTGAAGTTAAGTCTAGACTATTTTCGTCGTGGGAATGATCCCAACCTCACTAGTTGGGTTATTTACTTGACACGACCACTTTACTTCTTATTCGAGAAGTACGTTTCAGCGTATCACTAATCATAAAGGTAAATTGCAGAATTGTATACTAAAGTAAATATTCAAAACCTATTCAATGCAGTAAGAGTCTGACCGTGGGAGCTACTATTAACTGACATAAACCACGTGAGCTAAACGTGGGGTCCGATGTATATGACCCATCGATAAAACCCAATATACCTTTCTAGGGGTATAGAGGCATGAATGTGGCGTGAACAGTATAATTGATACTTATAGAGGGGACTTATAAATCTATGTGAGCACATAGTTCTTGGACTTTGATGGTACGCTAAATCCCAGTCCAATTTGGTGCTAAGTCTACTTCACAAATCTAAAATGCACTAAAGACTGAGCAGTTGAAAATAATGACATTCTAACTGAGAAATAAAAATGTGATATTCGAAATCTAAAGCATGACTTTATGTCTAACTAACCTATTAAGTATAATTCATGAACTAAGAGAATTCATATAAACTAGGGTTCTAAGTTTTATACAAGGAATTATGCAAAGTTGACAAGAAAATATACTATTTAGACTAAGGATACTACAACAACAAAATCACCATGAATCTCCAACGATTTATAAACCCAATGTCTATACTAGCTATCAAGAATAAAGGAGCTGACTCAATTCTAAGGACCTAGTTGATAAAAGAAACCCACTAGTGAAATCCCATATACTTAGTGACAAAATCTACAGAGAAATCCTTTGGATTTTGGGGATGAACTTTGAAGAACAGTGTTGCTTGTTCTTGAAAGAAATGTGCGCCTCTTTATTATCTTTTCTTTCTAACTTCAATGATATTTTTGAGAATGAGGTTTTTGGGTAAGTCTGACTAGATTATTACAATTAACTTGACCAACGACGTATATTAGGCATCAAACGATATTGTTTAAGTGCCCAAAGCATAGGGGAAAATACAACAAAGACCTTGACTTAAAGTTGAAGAAGTATTACTCGCGAGGTATTGACGAGCCGTCATTTGAATCACTTCATGTCAACAGAGTCATGGTTCGAGGTCTTCCCAACAAGGCTTCACGAAACTGAGCATAACTTTTACTCCGAGCTTCGATTTTCGCACACTCAATGGCGTTGGAAATATAATTAAAAATCTTTAATTTGATAGGTGATGCGCCACCTAATTAATTTTGTGTTTTTATATATGACTATTTGAGGTTGACCTAAAAATCATTTTGCTCTAAATAGATGCAGACTCTCACCTACGGCCAGACCTATGGTCCGTACGTCCAACCATCGATCGTACTGGTTGGACGTGGGTGGGATCAGATACCCTTTAGTCTAGAACCTAATGACAGGACCCCACCTACGGTCCGTGGTCTGGCACACATTTGTCGATGGCTTCTGTTTGTCCTGACAATAGATCCTGGATAGCTTCATTTTTTTATCTTCTCGAATTTGAAGTATTACAATCTATGCTAGTACTATTACAAATAATTGTATAATTCTATGGGAGAATTTACAAAAACATTAAAAATAACTATTCTGAAAAGTGGCTTATCGGGGTGAGTTTAACAAACACTTTACCAACTCAAGGAAAAAATGGGGAATCCCATTAATTACTCACGTGCTAAGGACTTTATAGATACAATAAACTACTATCAGCTCATATATATGGGTTTCAAGGGTAACAAATATATGTCGCTAAACAATAGATTTAAAATAAAGCATCCTTAATTTATGAAAGACTTGATAGATTATTAGCCAATAATAAGTAGTTACAAAATTACTACGATGCACAGGTACACCACCTGCTGAGGATCCACTCTGACCATTGTACCCTACTAATGTCCCTCTTTGAAAATCCAAACAACACGAAACATTTGAAACTATGTGGACATCCCATCCTGACTACAAAAAAGTAGTTGAAAGAGTTTGGATAAAAAAAAAACTCATGCCACCCTAATGGTCTTTGAAAATTAACCTACAAATTGGATTAAGTCTAATTTAAGTGACATGTTCTACAAAGAAGGAAAATAATTAACAGGCTTGGGGAATACAATTTTCACATAGATACACCACTAGTATGTACCTCTTTTTTTTTAATCAAAGTGGGTCTTAGGGACCATTTATTAGAAACTAAAAAGGAAAAACCAGATCATAACATGATCTTGTCCGAAAACAAAATACAGAAATGAACAACCAAAGAAAGGAAACAAAGTTGGTCGTCTTCAAGCTTGAGCTTCCATGGAGGATGAAGACGAGGTGCTACCTTGGAGTAAAATCGAGTCATCACCTGCTGCAGTCAACTGTGTTCCATCCATTTCCATCCCACTGAATTCACTCAGCTTGAACAACTTTGGTAAGAATCGATCTAATCCCTAACTCTCTTTTGATGTTGTAAACGAACCTTGAGCTCCATTTCTATGTTTTACCCTTTCCTGCAAATTGAGTCAGAAACCTTAACTAATACCAATGCATAGGCCAGGTAATTCTTATTAACTTTCCCAGAGATCATTCCTTAAAGTACACTGCTTTACTGACTTTTAGATTTATATGTGCTTCACCTGAAATACTCTTGTTGCTTGTCGTATTGTGCATTAGTATCATTATCACTGTAGACATATTTTTTTGTTTTGCATTTTTATGATTCTCAAGTTATCAAAACCTTGGATGACTCCAATCTGCTCCATGGTCGGAGAAATCTATCTCTACGATGAAGGTAGCAGTGAAAAGAGGATAGAAGATAGTTTAAATACCTCTTATATATATTCATAGATTTAAATGGATCAGAATTTTGACAAATTTCACTGAAGACACTCAAAACACTAACAAGTGCCATGAAATTAGATCCTTTGAAGACTTCTTCAACTCGGATTAATCTGATCTAAACCACAAAATGAAGTTAAATGAACATTGTTTTCTCCTCTTTCATATTTGTGCACTGTTATACTTCAATTTAATTCATCCATGACCTTCTCTGCAGGTTGAGCCCCAAAGATTTGGATACCACTGCATAAGGAGGCCATATCTGAGTTCCAACTCCGCATAAATAGTATATTGCAATTACATCCACTTATGCAAGTATGCAGGACCTACCATCGCCTTTTGATATTTTTTTGTCATCCATGTCTTGTTGTTCTTGTTTGTCTCAATTATGTTTGTGTATTGAAACCCAACTCTTGGAAATCTGAATAGATGATAGTTGTTGTACCTGTAAAAAGAAAAAACTGGTTAGCTAAATAATCTACAGAAGTGTTGCTTCCCTAAGGATGCGCTCCACTATTGAATCAACATTAATTTTCAAACCATTGATCCTTTTCACCTCCACCCGACTACTCCAAGGAACCTCCTAAATTCCATTCAAAAATTTTTGGAGCATTAATGAGTTAGCCTCAAATATTACTTGTAAATATTGTTGAATGCCTTGAATCGGACCCGCTACAAACAGAAAGGACGGGGGTCTCGCTGCCCGGTCAGCGAGTCGGGGGGTCCAGGGGGGCGACGCGGCCCCTGGCCTGGGCCCAAGCCTTTTAGGGCGTAGCTTAGCACTATATATATAGACGCTATGGCAAACCCTATTCTGTAATTCTGTTTTTGCCTCTCCATAATAAAACTGCTCCCTCTCTTCTCGTGGAC